TTTTCAAGAAATTTTACTCGCAATTCGATAAAAAAATTCGTAAAAAATTCAAGGAAAAATTTATCTCTAAATTTACTGTTGTAATAGGGAAAATTTAGTAACTCCCAAAGGCTCATACGATCAACGATGTTACTGATAGGCGTTTTCCTCAGCACGGCAGCACAGCTCACGGCCTCGTATCGACGCCGAAACCAAAAAAAAAAGATGCGTTGAAAGGAGAGGATGGCTGCATGCAGTTTGCATTGGACGAGTGCAGTGATGTTCAATGAACTTCAAACGTAACCTCCCCGGCGCCTATTTTTAAAACGGGGAGCGTTCGGCAAGCCGCACCGCACCGTGTGCCCGCGTGTGCTTGCTGCTTGTCATCGTGATCGTCGCCAAGAAACTCGGGCGAAATATCACCACATTCGCACCGGCCAACTTCTAGCGCCGCACAGTGGATCGAGTTATACTAGGATAGGTCGACAAAATTTGGAAACTTCAAACGCTTATAACTCCGTTCATAAAAACTTCGAGGTTCTGAAAGTGGTGCCATTGGTTGCCTAGTGAAATTTTCTTCTAAAAATACCTCTCGAAATTTAAAATTTGACGAAATAAACATAAAAATTTACTAATTTAGTCGAAATATTTTTGTTCAATCTCTGTAAGTGACTCGACCCACTGTGCGCCGCTTGGAATTCCGCCTTCCAACACTTCATGTGCTCAGGCACGGCTCCATCATCCCTTGATATACATATGGTTTGACTGCTTGATAAAATTTAGATTGAAGGAAGAGTAGAAGGACATGTTGAAATATAGTGCTCGTAGGGCCCGAAAAGGGATAATCAACCTTCTAACACGAAAAATGTCCCTGCCAATCCACAGATTCCAATTTCAAACCAAGATAGCTAAGAATATTCATAAATGGACGTATTTCTGTCAAACGGAACTAAGCGCCAATTTGAGTTCCTTTTGAGGAATTTAGTATGCCGGGTAGTGCGTTCTGTCGAACGGAACTAAGCGCCATGGAAAAGCATTGCAAGTATAGGACGAAGGACGGAATGAGTCCGACGCCCGATTCCGCCGCCAATCAAAGCCCCCCTCTACCCTCCTCCCCCAATGGCGCTTAGTTCCGTTTGACAGAAATACGTCCAAATGAGCGTTCTCCTGCAAAAATGAGTGAATTTCTGCAAAAATTATGTCGAATACGTGTTTGACAAACAACGGGTCGTAAAATTTGTAGTGATGAATCTCTGGATAACGTGAATTCATAGGTTGACTGCTCATTTGGGCCCTAAAAACTCCATGACCTGACCTCAAAATTACCGACATGTTCGTACTCTCCCTAAATAGATACTTTAATATGATTTGCGAAGGATTCTCAGTAGCCATTAAACTTTAATCAGAAATTATGAATTATAAATGATAATAATTATAATGATGATACGTATAAACCTTCAGGCGTTGCCATACTTCCTTTAATAACTTACGAATTCATTGGGAAAATTCTAATTATTTTTCTTCCAATTTTTCAGACGATTTTGTTCCCAATTTATCCTAAAATATCAGAAAATATTGAGGAAAAATATGCATAACTTTCTTTAAAAATACATGCTTTATTCGGGGAAATTTGGCAACTCTCGAGTGTTCATACGGCGCTTTTCCTTAGCACGGCAGTCTCAGGCACTGGGTCCTGAATATTTGATTAGGAATAAATCCAGATCAAGGAGCAAAATCTTTCAAGACTTAGAAAGAAAATACAACAAATCCAATTAAAGGTCAGGGAGAGACAAATACGTAGAAAGACGCAGGCGTGATAAAGCGAAATGAAAAAGAAGTCATCACTGATCTTGATGGCAACGCAGGAGTTTCGAGGGTGGTATCCCGAAAGTGGCGCCACGCTGAGCGGCGGTCCGGCTTCTGTTCGCTTGGGACATGCTTTCCGCATTTGTTGCTGGATAACGGTGAAAAACCGCCTTTCTCTTCATCCTCCGTAGGTATTCCAAACGTTGATTTCACCGCAAAGTCTGGCAGCGACGCATATTTCGGGAATCGTGATAAGATCGGCAGCTCTCGAGGAGAGAAAAAGTAAAAGGAGAAGGTGGTGACCATTTATTTCATTCCAACATTTCCACGTCACGGATGTAAACAAACAACGACTTCTCTTTCACCACCCAATCTTTACCACCGATGATTGGTCTGGCAAGACCAGAGATGGGTTTTGAGTAAGTGAGCTCCAAGTAGTTTACTTCATAGACACTGTGACGAATCTTCAGCTACTCCCATGGGCCTTGTTTACAAGAGCGCGGTTCGCGGAACTTTGGGTGAACTTGTTCCCGGAACTTTTTATAATTCGTCAAAAAAGTTCCGGGAACTGCGCTCGTGGGATTAAATTTTTCTGGATATTTAGGGATTATACAAAGGGGTTTTTCAAAAATGAGTCCTGCAGCCTTCTGGGGAAAATTTATCGCGGACAAGAAAAATAATTGAAAAATGGCTCGTGATTTACCACCGATGGCAGCTTGTATACGAAATGATGTATTCCAAATCGTATTTCAGTAGTTAGGAATAGTATTTCGAAATTGCAACAAAGTTTATGTAACTGCAAATTGCTCATAGCTGCTAATATAATGAAAAGCTTATAGTCGTGTTCAGTTAAATTATTCCATCAGCAAGCAGCAAAATATCTCGCCCCCGTCAAAAAAAAACCGCGAGGTGAAGTCACCGCTCGACGCCGAATGTTCCTACCTTCCTCCTCAAGTAATCGTGACATCTAGGAGTGATACCATTATTCGGCCACGCGAGAGCTCGGGTTGCCTACACTGAAAACTGAAGGCAAACTGACAAGGCGGTAAAGTCACCGATCCGCACACCACGCTCGGCGAATCATTCCTGCTTTCTTCTTTGAGCAATTGTAACTTCTGAGAGTGATACCACTATTCGACCACGTGGGAGCTCGGGTTGCCTACACTCAAAACTGAAGGAATGAAAAAATTATGAAAGAACAAACATAAATGTGGTTAATAATTTTAACTTCCACCACCGCGCCGACCGCACTGTGTTGGCCCAATGCGTGAAGTATTCATGCAGTCTTGTAGGCGCTATGCGTTTCACGCCGACCGCTGCTGACCACACTGTTTGGCGCAATGCGTGAAGTATTAATGCAGCCTTGTAGGCGCTATGCGTTTCAGGCCGATGACTGCTGCTGACCGCAGTGTGTTTGAAGCAATGCGTGAAGTATTCATGCAGTCTTGTAGGTGCTATGCGTTTCATGCCGACCGCCTCACCGCTCCGTTCCAGGTCAAATTGTGTGTTTGGTTTCTCTCTTAAATCGACTAACTAAAGGTGTTGTCTCTTGTATCACCGAAAGACGACAAAATTAGAAATTACTATACTTTCACTCTCAGGAAATGAGGGATTTGGCGCCTTTCCTCGTTTGTAATTTATCCTGAATTATATTATTCTGAAATTTACAACTGAATCCGATTTTTTTCTCTCTTTTTTTGATACCTACGTTCGAAAAGATTGCAAAATTTGCCGCCCCCTACATTTTGCCGCCATGGGCCGCAGCCCATATGGCCACACCCCCTTAATTCGGCCCTGTTCCCTCCTTCTAATTTTTCTCTCCTCTTTTCCTTGTCCTGTTTTCAATCTTTTCATTTTAGCACCCCAGTCGCGATGGCACTTGGTTCATCCGCTCTAAATGTGTCACCTTTAATGTAGCCTTATCTGCTGTTCAAGAATTTTTATCGAATGCATACAGAATGAAGAGTTGCAAACCGATAGTGGTAGACGCACGAGTCATTTAGGCAGACAGTTGGAAATATAGCAAACGTGCGTTAAAATTCAGTAAACTGAAAATCTCACTGCAGAGGTAAAAAGCTCATTCGCACACAATTTTCCCTCAAAGTGTTTCGTGCAATATCAGTTAAGTGGCAACGACCATTTAGGAAAGCAACTGTAGACGCGTATCGGGTCTAATTGAACCCATCATCAGTGCAGCGCAGCCTCCTGAATTTTCTGTTTTTTCTGTTTTTCTCTTTGAAATTTGAAAAAAAATTGTGCTCGAATGAGCTCATTCCCTCTGTAGTGAGATTTTCAGTTTACTGAATTTTAACGCACATTGGGTATATTTCCAACTTTTTGTGCAGAATGAACAGTCCTGACATCGAACCTAAGTAACCCTCGAGTGAATTTTGAATGACAGACTCGTTGGTACATCATTTTTTTTTTACAAAAAAAGCTCCCATGAGTCCCACTCTATCTGCAGATTTGAAAGTCGAGATGAGATAGAATAGCTCCATGCTCCAACCATCTCCCTCCAGTTGAATGACCTCCGGCACTCCATAATGCTTTCTCATAGGTCCATAGGCGGATTCAGACACTTCAAAATTCGGAGCATCCCTCTTGCCTCCCTTAAGAGGGGCCTCCCTAGAAAAGTTTCGAAATTTCAAAGCATCTATCGTGCAATTTGAGTAAATTCCGCCACGAATAATTATCAAATATAAGTATCTTCATTCTTATTTCCTCCGTTCCTTCCTCCTTTCTTTCCTCCCTATTTCTTCCTTCTTTTTTTTCGGGCAAACGGGGAGCTACGCCTCCCCCCCCCTCCGGATCCGCTTATGCATAGGCCACCCCGAAGTTGTAGTCCTCATATCATTGAGGCCAATAACGAAAATCTCGCCAGACGTTACGCCCACAGCTTCACGTCGCCTACAAAAGCTTCACCGACGTCACCGCTGGTGGTTGACGTTTCCGACGCGAACTGCACCGCCACCCCCTCCCGCCCCGATTGAACCATTTTTCCTTTCATCGCGACCGTAACCGTTGTGGCTTACTATCCCGACGAGACCGGAGACTTTAAGTTGCCAACTTTCGTGATAAGCCCCGTGTCTATCACCGCACTCGAAGCGGACGAGTTCGCCGGTAAATCTAGGCATCCGTGCTTTCGTTACTTAGCGACAGCGCACGCGGTGCGCCACTGTCGCTGCGCAGGAATGTTCTCGACTCTCCTGAAACGGCTCCCGCTCCAGTCACACGCTGATAGTGATAGTGGGCAGGCCGGAATTGGCCTTAGTGTGTCGGTTCAACAAGTGGTTTGCGTGAGGGCACTTCGACCCTCTCGAGTTTTTCAGATTTTTTTTTGCATCTCATCCTCGTGTGCGCCTCACCTCGAGATATTGAATTTTTTGTGATTTTGCTACGTACTTGTGTGCTACAGTGTCGAAGTTTCGCGTCAGCGACAGAATTTTTTTCTCAAGTTCGGATTTTTGTCAATTTTTGCACCGGTGACATAATCGTTCGCTGACCCCAGTAATTTTTTATCAGTGCTCGGAAATTTTTATGGTCTGCAGAACCATCTCAGTGAATTCCAAAAGAGATCTCGTGTCACCAGCGACAGAATTCGTGATAGGTAATTGTGATTCTAGTTCGGGATACTTTGAAGTTCTGCAAGTTGTTCGTGGTTCGCCCAACCAATATGTTTCAGTGATTGATCGACAAAGATTTTGGAAGTTACAAGGTGAAATCTCAACGTACGCCGATCCTTTAGCTTTAGGTTCGTATCTCCTCTTTATACATACTTTAAATTTTTGGTTTTTCTTCATGCTATCTCGGAAAGTGATAATCACTGAAGCTTTCTCCGACCACCAACAATTTTCGACATAATTGACGACAGTGATGGAATGAAAGAGATGAACTTTTTGTGGCAACTATCAAAAGGTTTTTGTTACCTGCGGTGTATCAATTTTTCTACGCGAGAAGGCATCGGCATCCTCCCCGGTGAGAATCGCGCGGCGAAGATAATCAATTGTTCTCCGTTGTTAAGGGTGACTTTGCTACCGTATGGTCAACAAAACATTCAGAGTCAAGGGACACTTTCCACACTTTGCTACAAAATTGAGACAAATTTCCTAATTCATCGTAAAGTTACGATTGCAGTTCACATAAACCTATTTCAAAGAGACGAGACGATCGATGAGCGACGGAATAGGTGACTAATTGTACACTACGGTAGTGAATATTGCCTACACGACTGTTTGAAGGCGTTTTTATGACCATCCACCTCTCACGGTTTCTCTAAACCGAGCATGCTTTTTAACAAACTCAGTACGCGCACCCTATCCCTACAAATTAAAGTAACATACGTTTCTTTCATTTGTGCACCCTTTCTCACCCCTGGATTCTCGCAAATTCTATGTTTTGTTTAGACATTTTGCATAAGTGTTTGATTAGTAATACTAATAATTACACGTTTAAATAGAATCACATAGTCATAATTATTCATACTGATACCCTATAATCTCTTTTTCTGCCTATTTGTTAGTCAATTTACCCTACTTACCCTCCTTCAATTACTCCAACGAAGCCACCCCCACCCCCAACGACTATTGCGAAACATCTGTCTCACGTGCTTTTGAGGGCCATCCTTCGCGGACGTAGAAAACTTGGTACACATTTTGAGAAGAAGTCATCAATTTTACCTACATATAATTGCCTGCTTAAAGCTGGAAAAAGCATGGAATTTGATCCCTAAATATAGCTGCAAAGACAAAAAATGAAGTTTCGGATATTTTGAAGGAATGAACGGTGTCTGAAAAGGATAGCGTTAAGCAGGAACGTTTTACTAGCAACTCGCACGAGGTATCATAAAATTAGGGATCAATGTCCAGGTGGGAAACTAAACAGGGAGGTCTCGGTCCCTTTAAAGGCTTGCGTGCTTCCTTCTGACATCGTCGAAAACCATGAAATCGAGAATAGAATCGATATCTTTCTCACGGGCCCAAGCGCCAAAATCCAAGTTTCGGAAAAACTACTGTTCAGTTTGCGCTCAATCTTTTGAGTCAAAAAAATGTGTGTGTCTGAAGACTCTACTCAAATAGGGTCGCATCCGATCGAATGGACGTCGAATGGCACCCCTTTTCCCGTTTTGCTCGAGACTTGGATTTTGGCCCTTGGGCCTTTGCGAAAATTATCGGTGGAATTATTTCTCTGAGGAGGGGACATTATGTCATCCGGTGTCCACAGACTCTTACTTATTCAACCTAACCCTTGTTAAAATGTAGATAAAGCACGTTTTGCTTAACGATGGTCGAAGGGCCGTTCCTCTCCACGTTTTCACCAGTAACTTTAAAGGACGATTTTTTTTCGCTTTTCTCTTGTGTTAAGTATACGCACAGCCTCTCATTATACTAAAGTCTTCCTAGTCCAATTTTTCAGAGAATTTGTTCATAATTTAATACAAAATGTTCTAAAAATGTCAATGTAAAATAATCATAACTTTCCCAAAAATAGGTTTTATCTGAGAGTGAATTTGGTAACACTCGAATATTCATATGGCATTTTTTCTCAAAACGGCAGAATTTTTTCAGTAATCCTAAAGTAATTTGCAAAAATTCACCTCGCAAAGTGCTCACCACGACATCCATCAGTCATCATCAGGCGAGTATTATTTGACTTTTTGCTCAGCAAGTTGATCATCAATCAGCTTCAAGTAAGGAGCACTATGCCGTTATAGCAAAAAGAGCAGTAAGTGCAAAAACGAAGTTTTGAGAAAACGGGCTCTGACGCTTCTGACCGGAAAATTTTATCGAAAAAAAAAAAAAAAAAAAAAAAAAAAAAAACCCGGCCGTTCCTTGTCAAATCGCCACTAATAGTCCGAAAGACTCTTAGAAATCGTTTAAATGTTTAAATATCGACAGATTTTATTTCAAGTACATATTTCAAGCAGGGTATTAGTGTATTTTCCGAAGGAAATACCCTATTGCGGTTTTTTCATTTCCATGCTAAGCTATCGTTAGGCAAGACAGCCGTAAGTGCTATCTTCTGCATGCTTTCGCGGCTGCGTGTACACTTGACAAACACACTTTCAGGTTAGAAATGGCAGCACTTTACTTGAAAGCACTGTCTTCATTGGCTCTCTGGAAGGATATCGTCACTTACTGTTGTCTTGCCAGAAACTACGTTATATTTTGCGCACTTGCGGCATTCTCATATATGTCTCGTTTTGATACACTTCAGATGAATTTTGCTGTTTTAGCTATTTCAGTGATTTCATCTAAAAGAGATTAGACGACTTTAGAGGGAGACTCGATTTCGAAAATTGTACTCTTTCTGCTCTCTTCGCTATCACGGCAGTATTTAACTTTTTGCTCAACAAGTTGATCATCAATTGGATCGCATTTAGCAAGAAGGAACCAGAGTGATTATAAAGTTATCAAAATCGTGCGAATTCTTTTTTTTTCTTTCAAAAATATTAGCTATCTGTACAGTATTAAAATTTACACAATTATTTTCCTTTAAAATTGTCAATTTTTTGGTGGGATGCAAAAACTTTTTGCTATCTTGGGAGATTTTTTAGATAATTATGAGGAAGTAACATTTTAACAACACTACAATTGTGCTGGTTCATTTTTGTTAAATGCGATCCAATTATCATCAAGTATAGAGCTGCGTTTACCTCCAAACAATGGCGTGGCGTGCTTTACGATCTATCGATATTTCCCCATTTGAAGCTGAGGTAAATAATCGATTATTACGGTGTTCGCTGCGAACACCCTGTTTATCGATACTTTTCCATGTTTAAATGGCCGATCAATCGATATATCGCAAAGCACGCCACGCCACTGCCTCCAAACGTAACTTTTGCCCCGTCCGATTACACCGCTCAGCTCGATAGTGCGGGGTCTCAAAAATACATCGTCTCTGGACAGATCCTCTTTGAGCGCTCGAGTCGGCATGGACCGAGCAGTTTACTTTTGAAATTTAAACAAAATGCACGAGAAATTCATGCAATCTCATACTGTTGCCGTCTCAGTCGGCTCCAAAACGAAGCGTAAGCGTCGTGCGATCAGTCATGATCGAGAGAACGGAAGAATCCACGGCGCACACTGGACCCAGTCAACAAGAGAGGTCGGACAAAGTTTGGAAACTTTGAAAGCTTATATTTTTGAAAATATGAAACAAAAGAGTAGTTTCATTCGTTTTTCCGTAAAATTTTCTCTTAGAAACACCCCTTGAAATCGAATTTGTGACAAAACGAACATAAAATTTTGAAATTTTAGCCAAAAATTCCGTGTCCGACCTCTTGCATTAGCTTGATCCACTGTGCGGCGCGGAGTGGAAGAATCCACGAGAGCGTGGTGAACGCGAGGTGGCGAAATAAGTTGTTCTAGTGGCTGCAGATCCACGCGCGGCCAGGTTGATACTCCACAGTCGTGAATTTCGTATTCCAATTCTTCCTCAGCAAACGCTGCACTAGAAACTGTACACATAAAGCTGCTATTCCTCATCAGATGTCATTATTTTTACGAATTGGTGATCATCGCTGAGTGGTGCTAATATTTCGTGGACTAAAAAATTGATATAAATGAAATTGGTGAAACATTTTGGGTCTTTAGTTGGAGGTAAACCCGATGAAAATCAGGGGGAGGACCATGTTTGTCCTTGTAAGAAAAATTGAGGCACCGGATGCAAAAAGGGCACTTCTCGATTGCGCACTGGAAAAAAAATTGGATCTAGAGTCCAGACTCTTAAAAACATCGACAAGAAAAAGTACTCTTGATTTAATCAGAATCTAGCTTAAATCAAGAACCAAACCTCTTAATTTAAGCGGATTTCGTTTTGATCTAAACAAAAATCCGATTGAATCAAGAGTATTTTTTCTTGTCGATGTTTTTAAGAGTCTGGACTCTAGATCCGATGTGTTTAACACACTGGAATTTTTTTTTTTTTTTTTTTTTTCCGGTGTGTTTCAGAATCTCTGTAAATGCTATTCGATCCCGTGGAGATAACTTTAATGGGTGATTTTTCCAGGATTCTTTCCATAGAAAATTGTAGCATCATAAGGAATATTCAGTCAATTGTATAGTGAAATGGATGCATTTACTTTCCTTACAATGAATAAAACATTAGAGGAGACTCTGGAACACTGCGACCGATAAGTGTATTTTTTGCATCCAGTGCCTCAATACCAGTTAAACCGTTAAATTTTTCTCTGCTTTTTTCGTCCGTCGCGATCAGTAGAAACTCTAACTATTTAACTGAAATTTCGACACTGTTCTTCTGGTGATTTTTATCAGGGAAGCAGTAGGTATAGAGCATATTTGAAGGGAGATGATTTCTATCTGCGTTATGGTGGGAGGAGGAAGAAATATTGAAAAATCAGGGATAGCACGGTATATAATAATTAATGGAAGGCTCAACTTTATTTCAGTGTCGTTGACCGCTTTCCCCTGGTGGAGGGGAGGGGGGCGTGAAAAAATCTATGAAGGTGCCTTTTTATGGGAAGGGGGGGGGCGCTCGCTGCTACGAGTTTGATCTATACTCGCTGGTTATCACGCAGAATATTTTACCCACCCTTCTCACTTCAGCTCACGCGCAGTTGTAGCGTTTTTGTAATACAGCAGATTCAAGAATTTTAGATTAGCAGGGGGACTTGTCGACGGTGAAACTACCAAACCACGTATCTCGTTTGCGGTGTTTAAAAATCTACGCTCACATTTTATTTTTTTGAAGTAGACCAAATCAATATCATTCCTTGAAATTTTCACGGAATTT